TTTCTTTTTTTCTTTTTTGATACTTTCTGGTTCTAAAAATTCTTTATTAGTGCCGACCTTACAGAAAAGTGGTAAAGATCAAGTAATATTTTTGTAACCAGCAAACAGTTTAGGATCATATACTACATATTCTATGTTGCATTGCCTTGGATAGATGTATGTGGCTCTGGTAACTTTTGTTCTACCTCAGAACCTTTTAATTTTAATGTGGCTAGATAGTATCAATTTTAAAAGCAACTTTAGTTTCCTTTGTTTCTCCTCTGTCACACTGTAGGAACCCAAATTAGCCTTTGAAGACGTGGATGCAGCAGAGTTGTACCCATGTGTAATGTTCTATAGCAGCAACCCGGGTGAGAAGGTAACAATTCACAGCCTGTTCTTAGGCATAAGGGATCCTGGTTATTTTAAATTAGTGTTATATTAGTATGATACAGCAGTCATAAACTAGTAAGAGCTCTCTGTTATTACAAGTACTTGGCCCGTAGAAGTTATTCTTCTAGAAGGGTAGATAACTTTAGGAATTGTCTTTTACTCCAGGAAACTAACTTGCAAACAGTGGCACTGTGAGAGTTAACAGGAACTATATTAGCAGTAATATGGTTTATTGGTAGTTATGGATATGAGAAGAAATCTAGAAATACTCAAGTATAATAAGATACCATTAGCCGAATAATAGAAGTTATGGTGGGGAAACTGTCTTTTGCTCTTGTGTGAGAAGTCTCAGACCTTGTAGATGTTACAGATTTGAATGTATTAAGGGCATACAGTTTCACTGAAACTTTTTTGTTCTCTTTATCTAAAACAAAAGCAGAAATAAGCTTCTCTTTGGTCTCCCTGTGTTAGTGGCTAGTGTTGGTATTTTTCCCTTTCCTGTCTTTTCACTGGAGGGTACAGTGTAAGTTAGGTCTGTTATCAAGAATTTCTAGTGGAATTTTATACTAAAAAATTTTAATTCATATATGATTTTCTTATAATGAACATGTCAGACTAAGTAGATACTAATCCTGATAGTTATATATATTATATATTTACATATAAATGAATTCATATAAACTTTACATATGATTTATATAAATAAGTTATATATGTGTAACATACATAAATTATATTTATGTATTTTATGTGGTGATATTATGTAAATTAATTATATAAATTTATAAATACATAGTTTCAAGGAATTATAATCTAAGGTAAGATGACCATAAGGCAAAGAACTTCTTGAACAGTAGCCAATAAATTGCAGGTAAAGTAGAGGCTGCTGAGTGCCTAATACCACCCTTTGCCCCACTGGTATTCTTGAACCCTGGTAATAATCTTTGAGGAAGAAAAAGTTAACATTAACTATTGACAGTGAACCTGTTGCTGTACTAGTAAGTACTTTGTCTACTTTGTTTGTATCACTTTATTTTTAAAATAAGTAGAGGAGATGGGTACTCACATTAGTGTCCTTGTTTTAGATGAAAAAGCCAAGACTTAAATTACTTCCCAAGATCATGGACAATTAAGATTTAAACCCAGGTCTCACTCCTTGTTTTGGTTTGTTTTGTTAACATCTTTAGGGTATAGGGAGGAGGAGACAGGGTCTTTTATATAGTCCAAATTTGTCTTGAACTGAAGTTTATCAGAAAAGTCCCTCAGACACAGTAAACATATTTATGGTTGGAATTTTAAGGCTGGATAAATTCTCCGAGGTTTACAGATGTTGGAAAGGGCCAAACCATGATTTGGAACAGATTACATCAGAACCTACTTCGTACTACAAGATATTACCAGGGTTTAAGTATATTATCAGCAAAAGGATGGCTTTGAACTCAAGGTCTTCCAGGTGCTGGGACCACGGGCATGCGCCACCACACTAGCCTCCTTGTCCCACTTGGAGTGTATGGTCAAGTGAGGTTTCCCCAGTTGTATAGTTTTACAGTCTTACTTACATTCGTGCTCTTGGAACAATATAAAATAGTTTCAAGATTCAATATTATCCTGAAATTCAATATTCAAGATTTGAGGATGATAGTTACTGTTTCTTTCAGACATTTATCTGAACTAAATTGAGTTAGCCATACGTACCTTGCTCATATCCATCCTTTGAGTGGTTGTAATTGCTTTGGAACTTGTGGGCTATAAGATGTTCAAATGGCAGAACATTTTATCAAATTGCAAATCATGTTAGTGGGTCTCTAACAGGAAACTACCTATTGGGGTGTCACTTGATAAAATATACTAGTACTAGTTCATCGGGATTCCATTTGCTAAAACATATATTGACAAATTGTTAAGGAGACCTTCTAATATCATACGTATCCCACCTTTTCTTTTATATAGGTGAAAATTTGTGATATGCAGATGCGTGGCACACCACGGGATTTACTTCCAGGAGACCCTATTTGTAGTCCAGTAGCAGCAGTGCTAGCTGAAGCCACCATTCAGCTTATCCGTATCCTTCACCGGACAGACCGTTGGACTTACTGTATTAATAAAAAGATGATGGAGAGGCTCCATAAAATTAAGCTATGTATTAAAGAGTCAGGTCAGAAGCTAAAGAAAAGCCGCTCGGTTCAGAGCCGAGAGGAAAATGAAATGAGAGAGGAGAAAGAGAACAAAGAAGAAGAAAAAGGTAAACACAGTAGGCATGGTCTTGCTGACCTCTCAGAACCGCAGCTGAGGACTCTTTGCATAGAGGTGTGGCCCGTGCTAGCAGTGATAGGAGGAGTTGATGCTGGTCTTAGAGTTGGAGGTCGGTGTGTTCACAAGCAAACTGGGCGCCATGCCACGCTGCTGGGAGTGGTCAAAGAAGGCAGCACATCTGCCAAGGTCCAGTGGGATGAAGCAGAGATTACCATCAGGTATGATGTGTTGAGTTACGCTCTTAGCAGATAAGTATTTGATGGTGAGATGGGCAGTTGCCCATAGACGTGAGTAGTATTGTATTTTAGATGAACTGCTAGTTAATTTTTAAAAATGATTTCTATGTGCCTAGTTGTTACTACTTTGATTTACTAAAATGCAAGTGATTGGTAAAATAAGTTTTTAATTTGTTTGGTCATGAACTGATAAGTTCACTAAGCTTAATTGTTATTTTTTATTTGAGTTCCTGCTTCTTGGTGCAGGGAGGTATATGTGTCAGAGATCACACTTGGACTTCAGCATGCTAGATAAAAGACCTATCACTGAACTATGCCCTTCCTGTTTCCTGCCCTTTGATCATATCCATATACACTTGAACATTTAGAAGCCAGCTGGCTAATCTATTGATCACATTTAAAGTTCAGAAAGCCCTGTGGTAGGAATGTGTAAGTGACTAATGAATATATAAGAGCTGCCTCTTTTTTTAATTAAAATTTTATTTTTTATGTGTGCAAGTGTTTTGCCTGCATATATATCTGTGCATCCCCTGTGTGCCTTATTCCTGCAGAGGCCAGAAGAGGACATTGTATACCCTGGAACTGGAGTTATAGACATTTGTGAGCCAACATGTGTGGGCTGGGAACTGAACCCTGGTCCCCTGAAAGAACATCTAGTGCTCTTAACCACAGTGTCATCCTTTGGTCCCATGATGGGTTCCCCCAATCCCTTTTTTGAGACCAAATATTATAGCTTAAACTGACCTGGAACACACTATGCAACCCAAGTAGACCTCGAGTTCATGCTCACCTTGTATCAGCCTCCCAAGTGCTGGGAGTACAAATGTATGCCATCACCCCAAGCCTTACCGTTAGTAGTTATGAGAATTGCATTTATTTGACACAAGTAAGGTGCTTGAAAACATTTAAGTATATTTGTGTGTTTGTGTGTTTGTGCATGTATTGAAATATAAACCTCATCAATTTCATATATTCAAAATAATGTGAAACATTTCCATTCATAAAAGTCCTCACCTATCTTGGTACATAATTTTATAATATGGAAATAAGGATTTATTGATAATACTTGTTATGTAACTGTTGATATTACCTAATATAATTCTTATATATTAATATGACATTATCTAAAAAAGAGTGATCCATAGTATTTAATGAAAGTAGTATTATTTTAGAACTAAATGAATGTGAATGATTTTCTTAGTTGAAAAACACATATATGTAAAGTTTATGTATAATTTTAGGTTTTAATGGATTTTATTGTACACATTCCTTCACAATAAGCTAAGAAACCCAGTGATAGCTTTACAAAATCATATAAAAGTGTCCACATTTACTTTTGTTCTTGCTTTGTTTCAGAGAATATTCAGTATCTGCTAATATGCATGCAATATAGTAAAATATGTAAATTAACACATGAAAAAGAAGAATGTGGCAAAAGGAAAATAAAACTAGGAGGATAAGGCAGAACCAAGAAATGGGTGATAACAACAAAACTTCAGATACTTGCAGGGCTTTTATTATATTTTTTAAATTAATGTGACTCTTAAACTTTAGGAATTGTATGCACATATCAGGGGTATGTAATCATATTGTTGCTTATAAGGTTATAAATATCAGTTGAAGACTGCAAAGTAAAATTTTTAATGAAAGTTTCCTATGAAGATCTACTACATATTCAACAAACTAGATTATTACCTAAATTTCCCAACTAGCTTACATGAAACTACATCTGCCTTACCTCCTATTTTGTAAGTAAAGTTACATAACTATATTCTCTTGCTTAGTATGTCAGTGGTTGCTTTGGTATTACCCTGGCAGGGTTGAGTGACAGCAACAGAACCCGCATGCCCCCAAAGCTCGAAGACACTCAGATTCAGACCTAAGTCCTTCTGGGACATTTGTTCACTCTGCTTTTCAGTGCATAGTGGCAAATAGTCTCATTTGAAAGCTCAGGTGCATTTCATTATTGTATTTAGTGTTACATCTCCAGTTCCTCATAATACCATGTTTTCATTCTGTAATGATGTCACTTTGTATAAATTATTCTCAACATTGTGTTCATGATGTGTCTTGTTTTGTCTACATTATTTTCTGTACCTTCCTCCCGTCTTTCCCTCACTTGCTTTTTCCTGTGTCATTCTGATCTTTATTAAAGCTTCCCAACTTTTTGGTCGCCTAGTGATACTCCACTGTATAACCTGGAACCCTGTGAACCACTGCTGTTTGATGTGGCACGATTCCGAGGCCTGACAGCTTCTGTGCTGCTGGACCTAACATATCTGACAGGCATTCATGAAGATGTGGGGAAACAGAGCATCAAGCGACATGAAAAGAAACACCGTCATGAGTCTGAGGAAAAGGGGGACATTGAACAGAAACCTGAGAGTGAATCCATTTTAGATGTACGAACAGGGTTAATATCTGATGATGTCAAAAGTCAGGGTACCACAAGCTCCAAATCAGAAAATGAAATAGCTTCATTTTCTTTAGAACCAACACTGCCAGGTGTGGAATCCCAACATCAAATAACAGAAGGAAAGAGAAAAAATCACGAACACGTATCCAAAACCCATGACATAGCCCAGTCAGAAATCAGAGCAGTCCAACTTTCCTATCTCTACCTCGGTGCTATGAAGTCGCTTAGTGCTCTTCTTGGCTGTAGTAAATATGCTGAGCTCTTGCTGATTCCAAAAGTTCTTGCTGAAAATGGCCACAACTCAGACTGTGCAAGCTCTCCAGTTGTTCACGAGGATGTGGAGATGCGTGCTGCTCTACAGTTCCTGATGCGGCACATGGTGAAGCGAGCGGTCATGCGGTCACCCATAAAGCGAGCACTGGGGTTAGCTGATCTGGAACGGGCTCAAGCTATGATTTATAAACTGGTGGTCCATGGGCTTTTGGAAGACCAGTTTGGGGGCAAAATTAAGCAAGGTATGTTATCTGATGAAATTATTCTCATAACTGTCAAAAGTAATATGATTCTATTTGTGAAAGTATGATTTTGGTCAAAGAAATTTGCACATTGTTTTTGCTTTGTAAGATAAATGGTTATTTTTTGTTACTTGTATCTTGGTAATCATTGTCTGCCTGTAATTTTGTATTTTAAATCTACATAAACATTAGAATTTTATAACTTTTGGATAGCTGAAATTAAAACATATCTGGTAGTGCATACTTTTAATTCCAGCACTAAGGAGACAGAAGCAGGGAGATCTCTGTGGGTCTAGGTCAGCCTGATAGTGAGCTCCAGGACTGCTGAAGTTAAATATTGAGACCCTGTCTTAGAGAAAACAAAAAGAAAAGAAAGGAAACAAACAAACACAGTTGACATTTAATTCATTCTTCAAAAGGTATCTGTTTATTGATTTGATTCAAAATATATTCTTAAAACTTCTAAGATGTTTTTAATATACGCTGTTTCATAGACAGTGTATTGTGTGTAAAAAGATCCTGGCTTTGCTTATCTTTATCCTCACCTTGGAAATGGTAGAAGTTTTTGAATAAAAGTGAGGTTCATTCAGAAGATATTTGTTAAATGCCTAATGCTACCTCTCTAGAGCCTAGAAACATTCCCTAGAACCTAGAAATGATGTCCCTTGCCTTCAGGAGGCTGTGTTTTACTGGGAGAGATGGCATAGGCCTGGAACCCCAGCGTTTGGGAAAGACAAGACAAGAGAATCAGAAGTTCAGGGACATTCTTGGCTACAAATCAAATGAATTTTGAGGCCTGGCCTAGCTACATGAGACCTTACCTAAAGGGACACATAGATGAAAAGGGGGACAAAATAAACAAAGGAAATAGAAAGGAAAAAGAAGGCTGGATCTTTCTAACTTGTGCTTCTCCTTTGCCTTTATTCTTGTTCCATCTTAGTTTAGATAGAATATAGGAAAGAGAGGTACATGTAAGTAGGCCTGTTCTAAGTTGATTATTAAGATATATGGCCATTAGGTAAACCGATAATAGAATTACCTGTGTTTTTATAAAATTTTTATTTTATGTGTGTGGGTCTTTTGCCTTGCATGTGTGTCTGCATATCACTTGTGTGCTTGGTCTCTGCAGAGGCCAGACGGCAGCAATGGATCCCTTGGGACTAGAGTTACAGATGGTTGTAAGCTGCCATGTGAGTGCTGAGAACTCAAGTGTCTGGAAGACAGTTCTATCAACTACTGAGCCATCTCCCCAGCTCTAGAGTTAGCTGTGTTTGTAGTAACTGCTACATTATTTGTTGTTCCCTTACTGGAGAAGGAAAACTATGCTATATACTTTTGGCAGACACACATCTTTCAAGTCACAGTCAGCATGAAATTTCTGTCAAGGTCTTTATTCTTCTTATATTTGTATGCTTTTACCAACTTTGGAGGTAAGCCTTAAAATTAAAATGCTCAGCAAATAGTTTTAATGTTTAGATTAAAGGAAGGTGTCACCACATCTCACATTTAATGTTTTTGTAAGAGAATTCTGTAAAATCAGAGCTAATAGCAAGGACCTATAGAATCTAGAATAATAAGTACGATATTGAAAGAGTGTGTGTGTGTGTGTATATGTGTAATATTATTTTTTGAATTCCTTCAGAAATATGTTTAGAAACTTACTTTTTTTTTTTTTTTGAAGGAAGGTTTTACTATGCAGTCTTAGCTGGTCCAGGGTATCTTTGCATTTAAAAGAATCTTCTTGCTTCAGTCTCCCAAGTGCTGGAATTACAAGTGTACCTAACCAAACCTACCTCTAGAAACTTAAAATTAAACTTTTCCATTTTTGACCGTCACTTCTTTAAAAAGGCCAATCCTTACTTTTGTCTTAACCTTTGATTTACAGAGATTGATCAACAAGCTGAAGAAAGCGACCAAGCACAGCAAGCACAAACACCCGTTACCACCAGCCCATCAGCATCAAGCACGACTTCTTTTATGAGCAGCTCCCTTGAGGACACCACAACTGCCACCACTCCTGTCACTGACACAGAAACGGTGCCTGCATCTGAGTCCCCAGGAGTGATGCCACTTAGTCTTCTCAGGTAGACAAATTGCTCCTTCATGCCTGTCACACTGATGCCTGGGCTTCTCAAAGCACATTGTTTGTTACACAGAGTATGCCAATTTAAATCCAAGTATTCTAGAGGTGGAAAGAACCTGGGATCATATAGTATAAACCTGTCTTAGTGGGAGTGTAAGTATGCCCAAGCGTACTTGGCTTCTAAGTATTGGGGGTGGAATGGGGGAGGTGTATGTGTGCACCACCACCATACTTGGTTTTTGAGTTGGGGGGAGTGTGAGTGTGTACCACCATACATGGCTGGGCTAAGCTTTTAAAGACTTGTTCTTTTCAGAAAGCAAATTCCTGAAGTTTTTTTTTTTTTTTTTTTTTTGGTGGGGGGGAGGTAACCATGGTGAGTGCAGGAGGGTTGGTGCTGCCACTGAAGATCAGCATGTGCTAGACAGATGTCCCATTGCTGAGCCGTATCCCTAGCCTAGTACTTGAGTTCTGAGTACTATAGTCTAAAGAAAAATAAATCCTCTGCATGAAATAATTTTTTCTCAGGTTCTTCCCTTTGAACATAATTTTTTTAAGGTTTATGAACCAAGAGAGCACTTGAACATAATTTTTTTAAGGTTTATGAACCATGAGAGCACACATGCTAGCAGTACACTTGTGGAGGTCAGAGGACAGCCTGGGGAGTTGGTCCTCTCCACCTAGCATAGTTGTAGGGATTGAACTCAGCTCGGCATGCCTCTGTGATAAGCTCATTTACTTGTGAGCCATCTCAACAGCTCTATACTTTCATTTTTACTCTGTGACCACACAAGTCTACTTTTCAAATGAAAAAAAGAGTGTGTTTTAAGATGCTTCTTCCGCTATCTGTATATAATAAGCTTTTGAATTTTATACAATGTTTACTTATTTAAATTCTGTTTTGCTTAGTTTACAACTCACATACACATTGGTGTGGCTTTAGAGAGTCGTGGAAAGACTATTGAGCTCTCTTCACTGTGGCTTAAGTGAAGGAAGGGAATCAAACTGGCTTCCTTTCCCCTCTCTCTCTCTCTCTGTTCTTCCTCTTAGGTTATCATCGACGCTCTTACTGAACTAGACAGTAGGAGGGGCGCTCGCTCGTCTCTGCCTTAGTGATCTCAAGTTTCGGTGCACAGTCCCCCACATAGGAGCTGTTTGAAAGTTCTGGGAATGCATGCCCCAGTACGTTAGATTTAGAAGGGCCTCAGTCCGTTAGATTTAGGGGGTCTGTAGAGCCCATTGTTTACATTTCAATCTTCCTAGTGATTTTTCAAATCCTGGTCTTCACCTCACATTTTGAAAATGACTAGTGTATGTTTGTGTGGAGGCACACCGACACTTACTTGTTTATTAGTGTATGTTTGTGTGGAGGCACACCGACGCTTACTTGTTTACTAG